TACCCGCTGCACGCCCTGGTCTGGCACAACCAGCCGCACGAGTTGGAGAAGGTCCTCGGCTCCAAGCAGGTGAGTCTGGAGGGGGCCGCGGTGGGGGGGGCGCGGGGGGAGGGAAGGCAGGCAGGCAGGCAGCGGACCCCCCCCGGCGCCCCAAACAATGGAGAGGGAAGGAGGGAGGGCTGAGAGGGGGGTGCCTCCCGCCCAGACTTTCAGAAAGGGGCTCCCCCCCCACTACACGCCCTGAGTCTCTCCCGCTCCTTCCCTTTGCTACGCGAAGCTGGGAAAAGATGGGGGAGGTGGAGAAACCCCCCCTCTTGGGGTGGGATTGGGGGAAGAGGAGAAGAGACACCGAGCTGGCCTCGCCTGCTCTCCAGGCATCATCCCCTCCCCGCCGTCACCCACCAGTGGGGTCTTCTTAGCGCAAATCTTTAACCAAAATATAGAGCGTTCCCCCTCCCCCGTTGTTGTGAGGGTTGGACTACAGCTCCCATAATCCCCAGCCGGCAACAGCCTACTACTCCCCCCCGCGCATCTGCCCAGGGCGGTTTCCGGACCACCCTTTCCCCACTGTCTTTCTTGGCCCCTTGGTTGTTGTCGGACTACGGCACCCAAGCTCCCCAGACGGCGTGGGGAGAATGGGAGCCCTGGTCCAGGAACACGGCAGGTTGTTGGGGGATTCCCAGGCCAAAGAGTGCTGGAGGGAGCGTTTTGGGATTCAACGAGGCAAACCCAGCGATGGAGGAAGGACCGGCGCCTTTCTGAATGAAATAAATCATCTCTCCATCACCCAGACAAGAGGGGATTTCCATTTGGGGTTTTAGCACCCATTTTTTTGGGAGGGGGGAGGGAGGGGCAGCCGTTCTTGCATTTGGTTTTGGGCTCATCACATACGCACACCCGTACCCACGAAATCTCCTAGCCACAAAGAAACGGAGGTCCTTCTCTGGTGTTAGTGGCACAGAAGAGCAGGAGATCCTGTGCTTTAAAAATCAACAACAACAACGTCTTTATTATGATTGTAATCCCTAGAGAAGACTCCTTGAGCATGTACAGAGTGCTGCTTCCTGGCGGCTCTGAAAACACCACAGACCCTGGACTGTATGGCTGCGGATTCTGGTTGAAAAGGGAAGGTGGCTGAGAAAAAGATTCCACTATTTCATTTTTCCGAATTAAAGGGTGGCTTCAGATCATGGCCAGCCCTAGGCATTTTGCTGCCTGAGGCAAAGCAGCTGGCGGGGTGGGGGTGGGGGTCCCCTGGGTCCCCCTCCACAGCCTGAAGCCTAGACAGGGAGAGCTGAATTATTTTGGTGCACAAGGCTGAAAATCTCTCAAGCCACTCTCTGAATCCTTGGAAATTAAGACACAGGAACATGGGAATCAAAGCCGGCACTTAACCCTTTGTGGCCCTGGCATGGCACCCTGCCTCTCCCACCCCACCCCATCTGTTTTTACATCCCCTTTGGGCCAGCTTTTCCTGAAATCCACACCTCTGGACCCAGAGGCTCAGAGTAAACATACACTTCCCAATATTGTTTCCGAGGCCAGCCAGTGGGCACCTTTCTCTGAACTGTCATTTTATTGATTCGCTAAGGCCTGTTTTATTTCTGCCCCAGCACGGTTTGGGGCCAGCTTGGAACAGGAAGCCTCTTGAGACGCTTCCCGTTGCCATGGGCCGGCCTCCATTTTGCTGTCACGAAGGACGCAAGGCCTTGGAGGCGGAGGGCACGCCAACCCATCGTCCTCGCCCCTGGTGTTTCCAGCAGGACTGGAAGGAGCAAAATTATCCAGGAGCTGGGGAACTGGGACGTGCCGGTGGCCCTCCAAAAAAAATGCCTTTAACAAAAACAAACAGAAAACCATGTGCAATTGCTTGGAATAATTCCCTTTCTGGACTACACCTCCCAGAAGCCTCCAGCGGGAGGGGAGCTATAGTCCCCCCCCAAAAAAAACATACTCATCCAGGTGGCCTTCACCGGCATTGAATTTGGGGTTCTTCCAGGCAATTTCATCCTTCACCTCTCAACGGCTGATGTAGGTTTAATTGTTTTATCATTTATTATTTAAATTTTATTATTTACATAGCTTGCTCTTTTCTGTTGTAAGCTCCAGGCTCTGTGTGGGTGGCGTACCTTCTCCCTGTTTTATCCGCATGACGACCCCGTGAGGTGGATCAGGCCCAGAAAATGAGAAAGAATAACCGACGTCTGGTCGGTTTCACGGCCCAGCCGAGATTTGAATCCCCCGAATCCCTGCTCAGAATCCTAAATCCAAAATCCTAGCTGCCTTAGGTTAAGTCACTTTGTTTTGAAAAATATAATATTGTGGTTACAGTATTGTGTTGTTTGCAGTATAAGCTGAGGAGTAAGTCCAAGACCGAACAAAGTTGTCAGGATTTGGTGTGACTCAAGAGTACGCCCAGTTGACTATTTCAGAGGGAGCATCTACAGGATGGTGACGTGAAATGACAGAATGGACTAGAGGCCAGGAAATTCAAATGCCCCCCCCTCCGCCCAAAAAACACTGGGTATAGACAATGTGGAGAGCCGGCACGGTGCAGAGCTTAGCCGTGGAAGTCTCCAGAGAGCAGGTGGCTTTTCGGCTCCACATCTAAAGGCTTGGATCGGCTGCCGGAGGCCTCGGGCTCCGAATTTTGGGGCAGAATGTGTTTGCCGGAGGGGGCTGGCGTGGCCTTTTTTACGTGGCTGGGTCTCTATTGCACCTGTTCTTCTTACAAAGGATGAAACGCTGTGCCCCTTGGAGACTTCCTTTGAGAACACGGAGGATGTGGAAAGCGCATTGGTGTTTCTGATGGTTCTGATGGGTTGCCGGGGGAGGGGGGAGGTGGCGGATCCTCTCTCTCTCTGTGTGTGTGTGTGTGTGTGTGAAATCACAGCAAAGAATGCCGAGAGAGGGAGGCGCTTCCTCGCTTTCCTAATTTAGCTGTTTTGTCTCCTCTTCTTCCCAGCAGATTTTAAAACAGTAACAACAAATCCAGCCTCCCATAAAGCAAAGGCAGATCAGGGCAGCTAAATATTCACAGCCGGGCCTCTAACAACGAGAAATATTAGTTGAACGCCACGTTATTATTTCCCAGTGGCTTGTTTTCAACCCGGCAGGATGAGATCGGGGTGAGAGGTTTTTCCGGAGGCTTGATGCCTCCCAAACCAGGTGCCTCCAGGATGATGCGGGTTGGGACTGATGGGTGTTGTAGTCAAAAACCTCTGCATGGCACTGAATTGCAGGAGCTAGTACGGGTAATTAACAGCTTCCATGATCATTACCTGGCTAGTTTTGACAACTTCTTAAATTTTTCATGGCCAGATTTCCATTCCTAGAAGGCTTGAAAGGCGTTATTGATGGCTTGATAGAGAAGGTGATCGGGGACTGGAAAAAAATATATTTTGGACTGCCTCTCCCCAGAAGGTTTCCCCTCTTGTAAAAGTAATATTTCTTAGTTTCTCAGGCAGGCAGAGGCAGAGGGTGCATATAGTTAAAGCCTGAGGTGGAGAAAACACTGCAGAAACTCACTGTCCTTGCAAATCTCGGTAGCTCCTCGCTAAAACATCAAATGAAAACCAATGTCCTCCTCTCTGTGCTCTTGGAAGAATCAAATGGATAAAGTTCTCACCAGCAAGGAGGGGACCATGTTGGTGTAGCTGCTCAGGGTGAAGAGATGATGGAGGGGATCAGAGAGAGAGAAAAAGAGCTGAAACCTTAAATTGGGGCCAGTGACATGGAAGTCCAGAAGACTTTCAGAACATTTATTGGTTAATGACTTCCAGGGGAATCAGGTTCCCAAGAGAAGAGAAATATTTTTTGGGGCCACACCTGCTAAGGAATTGGGGAAGTCGCAAACAGGTTGTGCATCTACTAAGCTTTCATTGTATGGCTCGAACAAGCGAGCCAAGCTGCAATTAGCAAAGGAAGACACACAATTTTATGCCAAGACTGATATGATGGGGAAAAGAATTCCTGGCTCCCCCAAAATACACCACAGCTCCTAGAGCCTCCTAGACAGCACAACCATTAGGGAAAAACCCAGCTCAGAGCAAGGATTATAAACCCTGGCACTGCCCAATTCCCCCAGCCACAGAGAGGGGATGATGTTGTTTTTTCCTTAATTATAACCCTTTTCATTAAGGCAATTTAGGAGAAAGTTGAAAAGGGAGCAAGTAGCTCTGCCTTTGGGGTTTTAATTATCACTCCCAGCTCTAAAGGCAAAATGTAATTTTGCATCAGACTGATTTGTCCTGGGAAAGGGGTCACATGAGGGCTGCTGGTTGGCTAGGGAATAATACTTTATGCATGCTCTGGAGCACTCCGTTTGTGACACTGCTGCTTCGCAACATCCAGAGCTGGGTCCTAGAAAGGGGGGCTAAATCCCCAAAAGTTTGTCCAGGCTCTGTCTGAGTCTCCAGTGATATGGATGAAGCCCATCCGTACGCCGCACAACATTGCCCACCCCTGTTCCAGGTTTTTGCCTCTGTTGCCGCTCCTTCTTACGGTCAATAAATCCTCCACGATGTTCAGCTGAAATCTACCCTCCCGTGGCTTAAGATCATTGGATTTGATCCCATTTTCTTGGGCGTAAGAGAGCCCATTTCAGATCTCTTCTGGTTGGCAATGGTTCATGGCTGGGCAAAGCACCTCTCTCCAACGTCTGCTGGACTACAACTCCTATCAGCCCCAGCCAGCCGTGCCCATGGTGAGAAATGTTGCGAAATCTGGAAGAACACCCCCTGCTTTTAGTATTTGTAGCAAACCTGGATGTTCCTTAAAATACCCAGCTTGTTAAAAGAGATAAAAGCATTTCCTCATTTTTCTCTGCTAAGGGACACCTTCTGAATATGGAGGCTTTTTTTTTTTGGTTGACAGACCGGTACTCCTTTATGAATTATTATCACCCAACAGGGGATTTTTTTAAAAAAAAACAACAGAATATTTTAAAATGACCCTGAACACCCTCTTTGTTTCCCAATCAGTGAGAGGGGGGTGAAATTGTTCAATAAAGCATTATGTATTTGCTTGGACTCAGTTTATAAAATATATCCCCTGCCTTTCCGTATAAATCAACATCCCTGGAAGAGATTTGGAAGCAAGTGTCTTGTGGGAATTTTTGCTAGCTGTGGCATCATCGGTCTGCATGGACTTCGGCCATGATTGCAGACCTGACATTCACGGGCGTTGATGACCAATAAGACCTGCCCTGGCCTTTAAGGAGAGAAAATGAACTTTTGCTGGTTTTGAAAAGCGTAATATTTTGTTTATGCAACAAAACTGGAAAAGAAGAAACAAATGCAGGACTCCAGGCAAAGACGTGGCTTCATAAAGAGATGGTGGCGGTACCTAATCTGAACTTTGAGAGGTAATCTCTCTCCCCAGCGATTGTGGACGTGGCAAATAACTGAGGCAGCTTCTGTTGTTTGCAATTAAAAGACAAAGCCTCGGGGAAGGAACCTGAGGAAAGCGGTAGCAACTGTAAAGAAAAAATCAAGGGACGACAGGGGAATAGAAGGCATTTCTTGTGTCAGCCAGAGCTGACACCAGTGTAATAGCATCTTATTAAGTTGGAAAGAAACTAAAAAGGAGGGGGTGAATTCAAGTATTTGATGCATCTGGGGCCAGCAACCCCATAACCGTGCCTCGAGGAGGATTCAACCCCCCCCCCAGTGGTGTTGATCTATTCTATACCAACCCACCTGTTCTTGCTGGGGGTGGGTGGGGTTCTGTCTTCAGGAGCACGTCTTTTGCAAAGCCAACAGCCCTTAATTGCCTTTTGACATCCTGGCAAAATTCTTAAGTGTTGCAACCAGGATAAAGGGCAGCTGCAAATCGACCTTAGAGAAGCCGCTGTCTTCTCGCAGGGACGGGGCGCTAAGAATGCCAGGCTTTGCCAATTAGGGTCCTTATGGGCAAAAATGAAACCATTTAAGCAGTTTTCCTGGGAACGCGAGTGGGGGGGGTGTCATGCAGGGTGGTTTACTTTTCGTTTTTTCCCTTGTTTTCATTCCAGGACTTTTGGGGGAGAGGAATTGACAGAATTGGTTCTGGCACTAAAAAACACAAAACATTTTTTTAAAATTTAATTTATATGCCGCCCACACTACCCAAAGGTCTCTGGGTGGCTTACAACATTTAAAATACAATAAAATTTAGAACAATTAAAATACAATTAAAAATATACTGTAAATTGCCATCAGACCCACAGCTAATATTATTTCAATTAAAAGCCTTCTGGAACAGGAAGGTTTTGACCTGGCGCTGAAATGTCATCAGTGGAAAACTGAGTGGAAAACTGTTGATTCTCTTTCTCTCTCTTTTACACACACACGCCCATAAGAAAACTGGACAAAAATGGAGGCAGTTTTCCTCAAACCCAAATTTAGTCTGCCCATGGAAGGACGCCAACGCAAGTTGCTTTTGTCGGAAAAAAAATAACGTTAGGAAGAACAACCTTCAGAACAAGGAAAAAAAACACCGTGTTTGTAACATTAGGAAGAACAACCTTCAGAACACAGCCAAGGAGCCCGAAAAACCCAAAACAACCATATGATTGTAATAATTAGTTATTGCTGGTTGTCTTGGAGGGTTTTGTGGTTGAAAATATAAGTTTCCTAAGTTTTGCTGTTTCTTGTCCAGGAAGAAAGGGAACCCCCCCCCCCAGGTTCTGGACATCTGAAGCCCCACCTCTAGGCTCTGGGGTGTCCTTGCTGTGTGACCATCGCTTACCAGGACTCTCATGCCTTGAAGTGATTGTAATAATTAGTTATTGCTGGTGTTCTTGGAGGGTTTTGTGGTTGAAAATATAAGTTTCCTAAGTTTTGCTGTTTCTTGTCCAGGAAGAAAGGGAACCCCCCCCCCCAGGTTCTGGACATCTGAAGCCCCACCTCTAGGCTCTGGGGTGTCCTTGCTGTGTGACCATCGCTTACCAGGACTCTCATGCCTTGAAAGGCACTGGCAAATTGAGTAGGGGGATTGTGGGTCTTGTAGTCCTCAAAGGTGGCTCTCCCGGGTTCTGCCGTCGGAGGGCCTCACCTTTCTCTCCCTTGCTCCTGACAGGTGGACATCGAACAGGTAGATCCAAGAGGACGCACCCCTTTGCACCTGGCGACCACGCTGGGCCACCTGGAGTGCGCCCGGGTCCTGCTGAGGCACGGAGCGGATGTAGCCAAAGAAAACCGGAGCGGCTGGACGGGTGTGTAAGCTCTCCCTCCCGGAGAGGAGCCTCAGGGCCGCGGGGAGAGCGGAGTTATTACTGTACTTGGGTATCGGTGGACTGCAGCTCCCCCAAAGTCTGGGTGGGTGGGGGCTCATTTTCGCCACCCCCTCGCTTTATCCCTGCCCTGTTTTGAGCCTCAGCCGTTCTCAAAACAGCGAGCGGTGGACGCTCAGGAAAGATGGACCTGATCCAGTGAGGTTTAACCACGGATGCCCTTTGATTTCACTGAAAAATGAAGCACGGGGTTTTATTTTTTTAAAGTCACTTTTTTTTGGAATGTTCGGCTTCTATTTTTTTTTTTAACAAAGAGCCAGTTACACACTTTTAAAAAAAATTACCTCCCCCCCACCCATAGATGGTTCCACATACAGTAAGTGCCGGCAGTAATTCAGCCAGTTATTGATTTCTTGAAGGTGACTTTCAAAATGATATTTTCTTGACTACCTTTCAATAAATATTAAAAGGGGGGGGGGCTAAATTTTCTGAGGTGGAGCTGCTGAACGAACAATAAAATTATGACAAGGTCACCTGTTACTTTGGAAGTAACTGAAGTTACCACCTTTGGAAGTATCCGAAAATCGCACTCCCTCTGAAATCTCTCCTGCTGGTATCGACAAGGTTTAGAAATGCCCCGTGTCGAATGAGTGGTGTTCTTAATACCACCCTCCTGTGATGCTTACTCGGAAGTAAACCCAAACCGTGGAGCTAAATTCCTAAGCATCCATGCTTAGGTTTGGAGTCATAAGTTAAAACCTGTAGAAACCTCCTGGTGTGTAAGTGATTTTGGGGTTAAATATGCATTAGATAAGGCTGCATCCTGATGTCATCTTTCATCTGGGGCATCCTAATTCAAATATTTAATGCTGTAGGATGATTTTTGATTTCTGGCTCTGGTCAGCGGTCTTGATCTGTTAAAACTGCTGGGCGGTGATAAATATTTGATTCATGGCTTTTCTGAATGTATTAGGCGGCATCCGTTTTTATTTTTTTTGGGAGACATTTCAAATCCGGTGGGTTTTTAAAGACTGCTTTGAAAATGATTTAGAACAGTGGCCTGTATCAATAAATGAAAACCGCAGAGCCGTCCTGGATGGAAACCGTAAGCCCAGCCCCATTGCCTTTAACGTGGGGATTTTTGTACTCCAAAATTAGTTTTTGGTTCCCTTTTTGAGCGTGCCAAACCCAGGGTGGAAAGGAATACGGTTGGACGGAGCTGTCTTTCAGAAAAACTGCATGTTTTGGATTTTTTAAAGCACCTGGGCCACCCCAAAAGCTTAAATCAAAGATTGGAAAAATCAGAATTTTGGACTACAACTGCCATGATCCTCCACCTAAAATGGGCCATTCTGGCTGGGGGGAAGTGGGAGTTATTATCCAAAAATATATGTAATGTTTTCAAGCTGCGCTGCATGATCTTGATTTGTTTGTGGTTTAGAGGACAGCACTGCCTTCTTTATAATTATTCATATTTATTTTTGTAATATAAAGCTATGCTTTTGCTCTGCTGGACATCTGTTTGGGAGTTCCAGCGGAGGCAATAATGACGAATAAATATTTTAAATTCCCTTTCCAACCGGGGAAACCCTTTCGGAAGGAAGCTCGTTAGCCACTAGGTTTCTTAAGAGAGCTAAAATGGGACAGACGAGCTGTGGGTTTCTTAACACTGCTTTATAAAAGTAAAACAAAGCTCCCTTTAACCAATGTTTTGGATCTATTTTTAAACCAGGCGAGGCACTGGATCTGCTCTGATCTGTTCCTCCTGATTTTGATCTGCTGGAAAGCGCCCGGGGTGGGAGAGAAAGGGAATCGACCCCGTTCTTTCCATCCATCAATGGATAAACAAACAGGGTGGATTTATCTTTCTGCTGGGGGTGGAGGGGAAAAGTATCCAGGATTTCTCCCAGTTAAAATATGCAGAAGTTAAGAACATAAACAGTATCTAAGAGTTTTGTAATCTCCCCGGAATAACTTTTCCAAGATTTGTGCAAACAGCCGTGGAACTTGTAATCATTTTTAACTATGATTTAATAACATGAAATAAAGATATTAAATCAAGAAGAAGAAGTTGTTAATAATGGATCTTTCCAGGGTCCCCAGTGGCTTCCTCTAAGAAAGGGGATCCTTCCTGATCCCAAAACACGCACAATCTCAGCTGTTCTCCTGACGTTCCTTTTCTCTCCTCGCTTTTCCAGTCCTGCAGGAGGCGGTGAGCACCCGGGACTTAGAGCTGGTTCAACTGGTGCTGCGTTACCGTGACTACCAGCGGACCATCAAGCGCCTGGCGGGCATTCCCATCCTGTTGGAGAAGCTGCGCAAGGTAGCGAGTTCGAAACACTCCCTCGAAACACTCACCTTTTATGGAATCCTCCAGCCAGCAGGGGAGTCGGAGTCCCCAAAACCAGATATACATATAATCTTGGCTATGAATACATCGCAACAAATGGAATTTCTGTTCCTTTAGTATTTTGCGAGGATTTTATCATCTTTAAGAGAGAAACATATGCTTACATCTTTCTTTCTGAAGCAGGCCTTGTATATGTTTATCAGTTGCAAAAAACAAAAAAGCAGGCAGATATTCAGCAGGTATGGCTTTGGAATGCCCTGCCTGGAAATGCAGTAGTGGAAGGGCTTCCCCAGTTGAATTTCTGCAAAAATCGGAACAAGAAAAGTAACGTGCCAATCAGGGATGGGTTGAGTAGCTGGAAGAGATTGGTTTTCATTTTTTTAAATATGCTGTGGTTTTTAAGCCATTTCATTGATTTTTCCCTCCCTCAGTCTGCTTTTGATCACAGTTCCTTTGATTTTGGCCTGGTCAGCTGGAAACCCAGTATGAATTTATGCTTAATTTGTACAGGTATTATACAGGAGTTAAGAGGCAGAGCTGCAGGTTAAGCTGTTTCTGTTCTGGTCAGTTGACAACCGTATGTATGTATACAAGGCAGGCAGACAGGCAGATAAGTATATATATCCGTATGTGTACATATGTATACATATGGTTGCCAACTGACTAGGAAAAGAGGCCTTGGCTTGCGGCTCCGCCTCTAACAATTATACATGTACATGTAAATTTATATAGGGTTGCCAACTGACCCAAACCATAATAGCCGGTCTTGTGCCTCTGCCTTTAACAGCAGCTTCTGCAGAATAAATGGGTAAATGATGCTTTTCACAACTTCAGACACTTTCCCCCACTAATACTGTATGTGCAGATCAAGGCACAGGAGGAAATCAGCGATTAGAAAGTTACTTGACTTTTAATCTTTTTCTTTCCTTCTCAGGCTCAAGATTTCTATGTGGAGATGAAATGGGAGTTTACAAGTTGGGGTAGGTCGTTAAGCAAACATGGGCTTCGTTTTGAGAAGGGAGTTGCAGACATGCCCCCCCACCTGTGACCCCAACGTAGAGAAGCCACCAAAGCCAGCAGGAGCCCTTCCCTCTTTCCTGGACACCTTTTAAAGTCTTATAATCAAATTACTGGGTACTTCAAGGGTACCTTAAATTTCAGCCCTGTTCCTTTTATTTATTATCTGTTATTATCATTAGTAACAGTGAGTCACAGGGCCTCTCTTGGGCTCCCCTCACAGTTCCCTTGGTCTCTAAGATCTGCCCCAGCGACACGTACAAAGTGTGGAAGTGTGGGCAGAACCTGCGGGTGGACACGACGTTGCTGGGTTTCGACCACATGACGTGGCAGCGTGGGAACCGCAGCTTCATCTTCCGGGGGCAAGGTAGGTGGGTCCCTCCCCTCCCCTCCCCTCCCCTTCCCTTCCCTTCCCCTGCCCCAGAATCTGGGAGGTGGTGGGAGAGGATGGAGGGTTGAGAAGCCACGTTCAGTGGCCAGGTACCCCAGTTAGATAAAAAGAGGCCGAGAGGATCCTTCCAGGAGGCACTAGAATCCCCCCCCCAGCCAACGTGCCGACCAGGGGGGGAAAACTGAGGACTAGAAACTTCGCTTTGCCCCTTGGCTAACTGGAAGAAAGTGGAACTGGTGACCTTCTTCCTCTCAAAACTGGCCCTCAACCCGCAGATACCAGCGCCGTGGTGATGGAAATCGACCACGACCGCCGGGTGGTGTACTCCGAGACCTTGGCCCTGGCAGCCCACGACCGAGAGGGCATTCTCGCCGCTCTGCAGCCCACGGAAGAGCAGGTGATGGGCCGGCTCATGGCCCCCGTGGTCACCACGCAACTGGACACGCGCAACATTGCCTTTGAAAGGTGCGTGGATCGGGCTGAGGGGGAAGGGGGTGGTGGTCATCGCATCGTATCCCTGGATGCGGAGTGGGGTCGGCAGAGAAACCCGGAGCGAGGGCGGGATGCTTGTGGGTCCAGGCGGTGGCCAATCCGCTCCTCTCTGGGAGTCCTCGTGGTTTTAGTCCAGGGCGAAGGACGGCTAGCGAGCCGTGAGCGTTTCAGCTTTTAGGACCTTGCATGCGTGCCCCCCCCCCAGTCCTGAGCAATCCCCATCAAGGCGTGTTCCTATTATTGCAAAGGGCCTTATTTCTTAGTCAGCTTTCTCGCCCGGCTTCCTTTTTAATTCCTTCCTCGTTGTTTGCCCGCTCACAACCAGGAACAAGACGGGCATTTTGGGATGGAAGAGCGAGAAGACCGAGGTGGTGAACGGGTACGAAGCCAAGGTGAGGCCCCCGCGGAGGGAGGGGGCAGACCCGTGGGCGGAAGGCCAGGGCCGTGCACGTGGGGCAAGAGGAGGGTCTTTTTCGGCTGAGGACTAGAAGCTTGAAACTGATGTGGAGGAATTAGAAGGAGCCAAGGGGACACATTCTTTCCCAGGGATCCCGATCGGGAGCCAAAGGGAAGGGAGCCTTGGTAAAAACGAGTTGGTAGGATTTCTCGCGTCCTTTCCCGGGGATCCTGATCGGGAGCCAAGGGGAAAGGGAGCCTTGGTAAAAACGAGTTGGTAGGATTTCTTCTCCACCGGCAGGTTTATGGGGCTTCCAATGTGGAGCTTATCACGCGGACACGAACGGAGCACCTATCCGAGCAGCACAAGGGCAAAACCAAAGGTATCAACGGTCTCTGCCTCTCTCCGCGTGTTCCCCCCTTGAAACGGACTCAGCACAGATTGAAATCGTAATATGTTAAGGTCAGGTCTCTACGTATACATTGAAACAGAAGGCAAGCCGTAATAATCCTGCTTGTCCAGGATTTTTTGGGGGGCTGCTGTTGAAGAATCATGTTTTTAGATCTTTTTGGGTGTATCAAATACCTGCACCTCCCTGCAGTTAGACAATTAGCCTGTCAGGATTCCCTGGACATGCTACATTTCTGTTGGTGGAGATTTAAAAAAAAAAACGTGTAAAACACACCCACTGTCCAGTCTCAAATGCCAGGAAAAAGCTGGGGCTTGCACCTCTGTTGAATGCATCCTCCTCTCCTCGGTGAATGATGACCTTTGGGTATTTGAAAACCAGCAGGTCTTTCATGGCTCAAAGAGGGGAGTCTCTTCCCTCCGACATGTCTGAAAAGCTCCTCATGTGCACCGTCACCCCCTACTTGTCTCTCGCAGGTGGCAAAACTCCGCTGCAGTCATTCTTGGGCATTGCCGAACAACACGTGGGCCCCAATAATGGGGTGAGTAATGAGCAGGAGTGATGAGGGAACGGCACATACACTGTAGAGTTCAGAGGGGAGGCTGTGTATTTTTCCCCATTGAATTGTACCCGTAGGATCCGTATCCACGGTTTCAGTTATCCACTGCCTCAAAATATTAAATTAAAAAAACCCAGAAATGTTTCCAGCATGCATTACCAGAACTGGCCAGCAGAGGGAACCAGAGACTATGCTGTCTAAAAGTTTTTGCTGAATCCACGGGTTTTTGGCATCCGCGAGGGGGCCCAGAAATAAATGTTTCCAGCATGTATTACCAGAACTGGCCAGCAGAGGGGACCAGAGGCTATGCTGTCTAAAAGGTTTTGCTGTATCCACGGGTTTTTGGCATCCGCGAGGGGGGATTGGAACCCGTCCCCTGCCGAGATCGCAATCCTTCTGTCGTTATTTTATCATTAACAGTGGGTGTCACATTGGACCGTTTAGGGATTAAAACAGAAAGCAGCAGGAAGAGGACGTTAATTCAAACCAACCCTTATAGCAAAAAAAGAGACCTGTTTTGGAAGGAGGCTTCCAGAATTCCTTCTTTTAATAAGTAACTTTTCTTCAAAAAGTAACTTTTCCAAGCTGTGCAATCCAGGCAAGGTGGGGAGGGCAAGAGCGCTTTCTGAGTGGGTCCCGTTTCCCTTTGGAAAATCGGGTCTCTTCCTGCCCTTCATGTCGGGTTCTCCGTTTTTCCCCCCCGCTGGCAGGCGCTCATCACCCAGACGTTCAGCCACGCCAACCCGACCGCCATTACGCCGGAGGAGTATTTCAACCCCAGCTTTGAGCTGGGCAGCCGGGACATGGGGCGGCCGATCGAGCTGACCACCAAGACCCAGAAGTGAGGCCGGAGGGACGGGTGTGGCGGCTGGGGGGGCGTGTGTGGGTGTGCGTGGGGGGGGGAGAATGGTGGGCCAATTCTGTGCCCCATGGAGCGGAGGTCCGGATGGGACTCGCCTCGCCCTTCTCTGCCCCTCTCGTAGGTTCAAAGCCAAGCTCTGGCTATGCGAAGACCACCCGCTCTCCCTCGCCGAGCAGGTGGGGCCCATCATTGACCTGATGGCCGTCAGCAACGCTCTCTTCGCCAAACTGAGGGACTTCATCACTCTCCGCCTGCCCCCTGTGCCCCATGGAGCGGAGGTCCGGATGGGACTCGCCTCGCCCTTCTCTGCCCCTCTCGTAGGTTCAAAGCCAAGCTCTGGCTATGCGAAGACCACCCGCTCTCCCTCGCCGAGCAGGTGGGGCCCATCATTGACCTGATGGCCGTCAGCAACGCTCTCTTCGCCAAACTGAGGGACTTCATCACTCTCCGCCTGCCCCCTGGCTTCCCCGTGAAGATTGGTGAGGAGCTGGTCGTCGCGATTCTGCCCGCGGTGACACGCGGACTGCTTGCGGGTCTTTTCTCTTCTTTTTACGGCTTCATGCCTTTCCTCTGAAGAGGCCTGCCTCTTCCCTGCCTTGCTTTCCTTTTCACAACAACCCTTTGAAGTAGACCAGGTCAAAAAAGAGACGCAAGAGGGAAACGGGCCCGAGTCTGCAAGATATGGGGCAGCGGAGGTGACTCCTGATGATATATAGGGAGCCTGTCTGAGTTTTGGTCAGAACTTGGATCGTAGCTACCCAAGGTTCTGCATTTGTTTGCCCCCCCCCAGGGTTCCTCACCTTTGCACAACTTCTGTAAAGATTGGGCTAGAACTCAGAACCAAATCACGACACTGAAGTTGCCACCTCCACAGGCACATGGTTATCACAACAGCCCTACGAGGTAGTACAACCTTAGAGACAGCGACTGGCCCCTTGTTGTACACTTTTGTAACTATCAGATATTTTTTTCCTTTCATCATTACCTCTGCACCCCACTGAATTCATGGCAGTACCCAGGCTCTTCCCCACATTATTCTCGTGACAACGACCCTGTGAGGTAGATCAGGGGAGAGAGAGCGAGAGCGCGCATGATCCAGATTGAGGCTCGCTGGCAGGGAGTCCTGATTTTTTTTTTTACAACCTCCCCTCCCAAGAAATTAGGCGCACGTGGGACTCCAGACGTCAGACTGCAACGCCCATGATCCCTTACCGAAAGCCAGTGAGAGTTAAGCTCTGGCAAACTCCCCGGGGCCTACTTTGCAGGTCTGTTGTGCAAGGGAGAACAGCCGCAAGGGGATTTTTGGGAAACGGAGAGGCAGTAAAGAAACAAGAATTAAAATAACGGTTTGTGTTGAGCAGGTTCTTTGCCTAAGGACCGTGGGGAGCCCTGCCGTCGCAGAACCGGCTCCATCGCGGAGGAGAGACCTCCTCGTTTTAACGGCTCTCGCTGTCTCTTCCTGCCCCCCCCCTCCACAGAAATCCCCATTTTCCACATCCTCAACGCCCGCATTACCTTCGGGAACCTGAACGGCTGCGATGAAGCGGTGGTCTCTCTCCGCGGGACGGGCAGCCCCGGCAGTGACGCCCCGTCACCCGGCAGCGATCGCTCGAGTATCAGCAGCTCCAGTTCTCTTGGTAGGTGGAGGAAAGGCGGGGGGGG